GGGAGGTACAGAGAGAACACGGAGGTAGCAGATCTCAAGCCGAAGGATAAGTGGCAGCAGGGAATCGGGGAAGCTGGTCCCCCATAAGCACCTGCCGATTCACTCCTTTCTCTGTAATCGATCACCACCACTTGAGCCATCTTGATCCATGGCCAAAGCAAGAGCATTGGCAGTGAACTGAAGACACTGCTTTTCATTCATACCCTCTTGATAGGAGGCATCCACATAGCCTTAGATGTAGGAGCTACCTGAACTCCCAATGGAAAAAGGCTGCCGAACCATCATACCTCCCATGGGTACTGAGTATACCTGCCCCTCCTCATAGGGATCCCAGCCAGCGACGATGATCCCAGCCATGAGATCCTCTCGGTAACGATAACACATCTCCTTGAAGAGGTTAGCTGCTGTGTGGACCGGGGGAGATTCATTCAGTTCAATGCTGTGGAAACTTAGCTGATAGGTGACCGCATCTGCCACGGCCTGGGTGTCCGCCGCCGACCCCGAATGGCAGAAGAAGATCCGATCGTGGATAGGGGTCAGCTTGTCTGTAACTCGGTTCTCAATATAAGACCCGGTGGTTGTCCTGGAGTCGGCTCCAAGAACCACGCCCCTATCAAACTGCACCGCCATGATAGTGGTCTGGGGGCAGCAACAACGACAGCTAACATTTATACAGCCCTATTGTGTGCCAGGCACTGTGCTAAGCGCTTTGCAAGCCTGGGAGGCACTTTAGCATAGTAATTTTTAAGCATACAGAATATGAGATAGAGTAGTTTATTTTATAATTAAAATTTTTGTTAGAAGCTTAGCATTGATCATCAACACAACTATACCTACTTATTAAATATTTACATTTTAATTCATTTCCATTCATAAAGTATTATACTTCTTCAGTTACTCCCGTTAAGTCCCCATCAGGATTCCTTACCCACTTATTTTCATTCATCTTTCCTCATATGATCTTCCTCATATTTCCTCATATGAGCATGTGCTTTATTTTTCTGGTTCTGCTTTTTTTTTTAAACTTTGCATTATTTCATAAAGGTCTCTACAGATGTCTTTGATTGTCTCATAATTTCTCATCTTAATTGCTTTACGGTATTCCATTACATTAATGGGCCACAATTAATTTATCATTCTCCTATTGTTGGACATTTGGGTTGCTTCCAGTTTTTTCTTGCAATTATGTATAATGTTGCTATAAAAATCTTTGGACAAATGGGGTGGTTTTTTTTTTTCCATGATCTAACAGCAATTTTAGGAGTAACCCTTGAATAGTTCTAAATGAGAAGCCCAATTGTGGATGTGAGCAGAACATAGGAACTGGTGTTATTGGGTGATAAAGAGAAGAAAGTGGCAGTGGTAAAAAAAAAAAAAATGTAAAGAAGGCCTTTTCCTACACAGTCACTTGGGAGTTGCAGTTATTCATTTCATGGCCTGGGTCATTTCATGTCCCTGGGCCTCAGTTTCCACATTGACAATTCTAGGGGGTTGAACTAGAATGATCTCTAACATTCCTTTCACCTCTAAACATTCCAGGATTCTGTTGATCCCTTCTCTGTCCCTCTGGGCTCAGAGCAGTGGGAGAGGGGGGAGCCTTTCCCTTCATTGCAGCCCAACCTGCATATAGGAACTGAGGACCAGGAGATGAAAACAACCATTTAATGTCATCTTCCTGCCTGCCCTACCCGCCCCAGACAAATCCTTGCTACAAACTAATTTTGGTTTGGTTAAGGTCATAGTGTTCCCTATACTACTTTCCTCCAATTCTTATCACTCAACCAGGAAAAAAAAATCAAAGGCATTGGATAAAAGGGAGAGAGACCTGGATTATATTTCTGCCCTGGACTTGCCATGATGAGACCTTGATCAGGTCACTCTTCACTTTTCCCATCTGCAAATGGGATAATAAACTCTCTTTTTCCACTATAAGCTTTATAGACTCTCCATTCATCCATCTACAAAGAACTTAAAAATTTTCAGTAATGTACTCCACAAAGGAATTATACATCATACATGGTACTTGTCTCGAAGATTAGATTCATGCCCTCTTAGAGGTAAAAGGGACCTTAGAGAACATGGAGTCCAACCCCCTCACTTTCAGAAAAGAAAACTGAGGCACAGAAATAGTTAATTACTTGTTCAAGGCCACAAAACAAGGCAGGGGCAGAGTTAAGGTTAGCATACAGGTTGACTCACTGCAGTGTTCTTTCTAGTCCCCTATGTTTTGTGGTGGTGGTATCTCAGGGAACTCCAATACCTGGATGAAATGAGATGAAATGCCAGGTGGGGAAGGGGGAGGGAAGCAGTATTTATTAAATGCTTACCTTGTGCCAGGCACTGTGCTAAGTTCTTTAAAAGTATTATTTCATTTCATTCTCATGCCAACCCCACAAGGTAGGTGCTATTATTGTTTCTATTTTACTGCTGAGGAAATTGAGGCAAACAAAGATTAAGTGATTTGCCCAGGGTCACACAGTTAGTACATCTCTGAGGCTGGATTTGAACTTGAGTCTTTTTGACTCCAGGCCTAGGGCTTTATCTACTGTGCCCCTTACCTGCCTCCGTTCCTGCTTTAGGGATGAAGGGAAGAAAATAGAAAGAAAATGCTGATGACCTCAGAGGGCAAACAGATGCTTGACCAGTAGCCCACTGAATATGGGGCTTAATTGTATTTTTCCTGTGCCAAGGGGCAGCAGCAGTGGGTTGTCCCCTTGGGTTCATAGGTTAATAGGACCATAGGGATTTAGAACTGAAAGAGATTTTAGAGGTAGATGGTCTAGTCCAACCTCTTCATGAAGAAAATTAGACTCAGACACTTAGATTGTGAGCTCCCCCATTAAATTTAAAATTCCCTGAGAGCAGAGACTTTTTTCCCTTTCTTTGTATCCCTGGCCCTAAGCCCAATACCTGGTGTATAGTAAGTACTTAATAAATGTTTGTTGACTTGACTTAGTGGCATGGTCAAAGTCATCTGGTACATGAACACCTTTCCCCAAGTCATGTCAATCTCCTCACTAACCCCTAAATTGATCATGTTTGCTCCAATCTCAGTATCTTTCTCCCACATCATCCTGACACCTGGAATGCTAGTAACATGACTGGGATCAAGCCCAGATCCTCTTACTCTAAATTTAATATTCTTTCTGCTACTTGGCCCCATGGACAGTACTTAAGAAATTTAAGCTCATTGGGTAGAGGTTATTCCTTAGAGACCCAGAAAGGTAATTCTGCATGTTATTTCACTCTTCTGCTCAAAGACAACTACTTGATACTTCCCTTTACCTAATATCACCTAAACCAGGGCTGGGGAACCTATGGCCTCAAGGCCACATGTGGCCTTCTAGGTCCTCAAGTGTGGCCTTTTGACTGAGTCCAAGTTTTACAGAACAAATCCTTTTATTAAGGAGACTTGTTCTGTGAAGTTTGGGTTCAGTCAAAGGGCCTCATTTGAGGACCTAGAGGGCCATGTGTGGCCTCAAGGCTGCAGGTTCTCCACACCTGTCTTAGACTCTGCCTGATATGCAATGGGTAGATAACTACTTTACTGATTCACCTTGATCTCCTGATAGTTCCCAGGAGAAGCCATTTTCTCCAGCCACACCATCATCCTTACTGTTCCTCAGAGATACAGTGCTCTGGGCCTCCCTCCCACCACCACACACAGCTAGAATGCTCTTCCTCTCTCTTCTCCTTAACCAAATCCAACCCAATTTCCTAGTTCCACTTCCTCCATGAAACTCCTCTAGCCCAGGGCTTCTTAAACTTTCTCCACTCTCGACCCCTTTTCATGTTTTGGCAGTTGCATGATGCAACACTGGCAAGCGCTGCTAGGAACACCCTGGATTCATTACGTTTTTGATTTTTAATTAATTTTTGGTCATTGTGCATTCAGAAACCTTTTACTGTTCCAATCTTTTTTCTACACCACATGGAGTCATGATCCACAGTTTAAGAAGCACTATAGTGGGGCACCTAGGTGGCGTAGTGGATAGAGCACTGGCCTTGAAGTCCGGAGGACCTGAGTTTGAATCCAGCCTCAGACTTGACACTTACTAGCTGTGTGACCCTGGGCAAGTCGTTTAACCCCAATTGCCTGAAAAAAAAAAAGAAGAAGCACTGTATCTAGCCTACAATGATTTTCTACAATATACTTACTGTCTGTATAATATGATTTAGCACTTCATATCTTGAGCTGTTCTTTTTTTTCCATGAGTGTGATTCTAATCTTAAGGGAAGTGGCCATAATTTATATCTTATTGTAATCTCTCTATACCTAGAAGAGACACAGATACTCCATAATTGATGATGAGGGATAGATTAACCCATTAGCTAGGTAATGCATGAGCAGGGACCAGTTTACCTGATTAACCTTATCATTACCTAGCTGAACAATAAGGCTCTAAGAGGACACAAGATGGGTAAACTTTATGAGAGAGGAGCAACAAAAAAGGTCAAGATGTCTAAGAGACACCTTGAGGACACAGTATATCAGGGAGTAGACAGGAACAGGAAAAGGATTCAGGTGGTACCCAACCTGATGCAAAATTCTGGTTAAAGGAGATCCTTTTCCAGACAGTGAAGTATGACCTAGGAAGTGCTATTCAGCAGTGAGCTATGTTATCTTCACAGGGGAGCAAGTGGACAGCTTCAAGCATTAGACTATTGTTTAATCCCAGGGATGAGAACTCATTTTCTGAAGAGACAAAGGGGAGACTATCCCCTTCAAACAGACCTAGGTCTTCCTCTCTGTCACCCTCTCCTTTGTTACCCACACACCAACACTTTTGCCTTCTCACTCCATGGCAAAAAATATCAGGGTAGAGTAGCAAGTGAGTAGAAACCTTCTAAAATTTGGCTGTTTCATGAATTTTGCCACAAGTTTTTTAAGTTGCAGTTAGAACACCATGTTAACATTAGCAACAAACAATAAAGACTAGAGCACATGGGAATGGAGTTTAGTGTTATAATATAATAAAATGTTTAGTAGAACTCATGACACAGATTTAATGACATGTATAATGGTTAGTATGCTGCATGGTAATTGGGGGGAAATGTAGTTGACTTAGCTGACTGTAATTATTATTTGTACAAAACCAAAATGAACATCTCCGGCATCCTCAGGGCAGACAGGAAGGGGAACCTGATGTAACCCAAATCCCAGAGCTCTGTGGTATGGGACTCTCTCCTGAGCTGGAAGCTGGTATGAGGCCTCTCTGAAGACTCCTGGAAGTAAAATGACCAAAACCTATTGAACACCTATAGAAATCCTCATGGCTAGATTAGAATCAACACAAGCTCCACTTAGATAGAAAGGTAGAGCACTGATTAAGCACTTACTATGTGCCAGGTCCTGTGCTAAGGAGTGGGGCTATAAATACATGTGAGCAAGTCAGTCCCTACCCTCAAGAAGCTTACACTCTAATGGGGAGAGAAAACACAAAAAAGGAAGCAGAAAGGGGGGCGAGTAGAAATGTGCTCATGTCAGGTCACAGTGACTGAAGAACAGAAGTCCGGAGTCAAGATGTGAGTGAAGTGAAGCCTAACCGGGGACTTGCCTGCCTGAAAGTGTGTGTTTGTTTTTCATCTCTTTCCTTTGCTCAGTCAGTCACCGCTTCTCCGTTATCTTCAAATTCTATAGCTCTTCTCCACGCAGTGTACCCAACATGTTCTGCTCTCCTCTTTGCTAAAAAGCTTTTCCTGGACTGTTTTCAAGCTATTGTCTTAGATCTCTCTTCTATTTCACTGCTAATCATTTAGGAAGAGTACTATATGCTGGAGTCGCCATTTCCTCATCACCCACTCACTTCTTACAAAGTGGTTTCTGGCATGACTATTCTACTATTTTCTCCAAGATCAACAATTAGGATTCTAACTGGGCAGTGCAACAGGGGCTTTGCTGACATTTGAGTGCTGATATCTCAGGGAAGGGTGCTCATCCTCTATAGGGGGAGGTGGCATGCTTTCCCATGGCAGACCATGTCCCTGTGCCTCAGAGTCCACCACCGCCTTGTGGCACATGGCACAGTCCTGCTCTTGCATTGAGCTTCAGTTACCACTCCCTGGGCACTGTAGTATGGTACCCTTTTCTTTGCCCCACCTTGCCCCTCTAACAGGACTTTCTCAGGGAAAGACATTTCCTTTCCTGGAGAGAGTTAGCTCATAGTCAAACTATTCTTTGCTTTGCCATTTCTATATTCCCCTTACCTTTCCCCCAAAAGGAAAAAAAATAATCCCCTCTATGATACCCGCACAGGCCTCTTTCTACCTTTCCACATTCCTTAGACTTTCCTTCCCTCTGCAAACTCTGTGATCCAAGTACATTGGCATCCTTTTCGTCCCTCACACACCACACTCCTCCTGATTCTGCCTTTTCACTGACTCTACCCCATGCCTTGTATATTCTCTCCCCTTCCCTCCACTTCTGGATTTGCCTGACTTCCTTCAAGATGTAGCTTAAATCCAACTTTCTCCAAGAGGCCTTTCCCAGTTCTGAGATATGTATCCTCTGGACAGGAAAAAAAAAGGATAAACCCACATTATGTTACCAATTGCCTTTCTGGTACCGACATGAGAACTTGGAGTATAAAGTAATTTTTTTTAATGATTCTGATTGCTCGTAGATGAGCTAAGCTGAGCATCAAGGTTTCAGACACATACGACCAAGAAACTAGAATACTACACCATGGTGACCATCAACGATAGCACCCCAAGCGGCCCAGCAAGTCATTTAATCTCTGAGACACAGATTCTCACCTACAAAATAAGGTTAATCGTCGTTGTCTTGCTAACCTTACAGAGTGAGGCTCAAATAAGGTGGGGATAAATGGATGTAAAAGAACTTTGTAAACCATAAAGCACTGTAGAAATGTGAAGAATTCCTGCTGCTAAGCACAACCAGCCTGCCCCCTTTCCCACCTTTCGATGAAAAATAGTTATCAGCAGATATATCTACTTCCTTCCCTTTCCCCTTCCCTGTTGGTGTATCACAAGAAGGGCAGATGTTTAATTTTGATTCCAAGGTGTTTGTAAGTTTAGGTTACATAGTAGACACATTGTAGTGTCCTGGAAAATACTGGAATCAATAAAAATATTGGAAGTCTAAATACTTGGTTTAAAGTCATTTACTTATGGTATGACTTTGAGCAAGTCACTACATCTCTCTGAGTAGTTTCCTCAGCTATAAAATGTTGACAATAATACCTGTCCTGCTGACTTCAAAGGGATATTTGCAGAATTAAGTGAAAAGATATGTGCAAAGCACTTGATCACCACAAAGCCACGATCAAAATGTGATTTGTTATGAAAGGGGGGCAGTTTTTCTTTCAAGGAAATCTCGTAATAGGACAAAGTGATTCAAGATTTGTCATTTGGAGCATTTCCTCATATGTTCATACTTAAGTGTTTGGGTCATACACTGGAAAGTAAAGCTGGGCTACATAAAGGGACAATGCCCATCTGAGACTGGCTTGGCATAAAGGGCCAGCTTTGCATCAGGAAGACTAGGGTTCAAATCTTGCTTCTGAAACATGCTGGCTGGGTGACCATGGAGAAGTCACTTGACCTCTTGCTTAATCTGTTGGTTTTTCCAGGCAACACTTTAATATGATTAAGTTACAGATTAATTGCTCACCTGGATCCATGGAGGGATTTCCACATTAGGAGCTCTTCACATGACTTGAATCACAAAGTCCAGACCAGTATGTTGTTTTTAAAATTGCCCATTCAGCACTGTGTCAATATGAGACATTGGCATATATGTTAATTCCTTCCTAAGTCAAGGAAAAAGTGCTTTGAAGAAGAATGAGAATCACAGAAACTGGAGAAAACAGAGCAGTGTTGTTGAGTTTCATGTGTGTGAGATTTATATTTTTCTAATTCTGTTTTGTGTTCTTTACAAAGGTTTATGTTTGAGTGACACCTGTTGGTTAATTGGATAATATTTTTTCCCCTTTTCAGGCCTTACAGTGAGATGTAGAAATGGAAGGATCCTTCTTGCCTATAGGAAGTTCTAATTCTTTTGCCTAGCATTTAAGGTTATCCCTAATCTGATGCCACCCTCCCTTTCCAGTTTTATCTCACACTGTCCCCCTCCATGTATTTTACACTCCAGTCAAACGATACTTCTTGTAGTTCAAAGACACTGGGTTTTTCCAGCTCTAGGCCTTTGCTTGTATTACCTAAATGAAGAATATCTTCCCTCTCCCGCTTTGCCTGCTGAATTCTTTATCACCTAACCCAATGACACCCATGGTTATGAAGGTTCTCCTTAACCCTCCTTCACTCCTGAGCGTTTATTCCTCAGATCTCACAGAGCATTTTGCGGGCATTTCTCTAACATATTAATCATGAATTATTTCATATAATAGTTACATACCAATCATGTTCGGTGGTAAGAGTCATATGGGCAGGTATCACGGACATTCTAAACTTTGTATCTCTCTCTAGTGCCTCTACTTTGCTCTGCCTAGTGTATAAATGTGCCTGGTGCAATGCTCTGCACACAGAGAGCCCTTAAATCAATATTGGATTAAACTGAATGGAGGAGAGAACAAGAGGAAAGATCTGCAAACTGATGGTTCGGGGTGGGAGGTTACAGGAAATGGGTAAGGAGAGGACATAATGTAACTAAGCTATCTTTATAAAGTGTTCTGAGAGCACTGGTTCTGCTGTGTGTGTGTGTGTGTGTGTGTGCACATATATACACATACAGATAGCTTCAAGAGTGTCTTAACAGATTGAAGTACATGGGAAAAAAAAGTTAATACTTTACATTCTGTCAGTCCCAACCGTGGCCCCAACGCGTGACTAAAACACTCAGATAAATAGAACAGATACTGCAGTTTTCTGGAATGAATTTTGTTTAGTAAAGGCTTAAGAATAAGAACAGACCATGTCTCTAAAGAAGTTGAAATTTTAATTAGTTTATCAGGAAATATTTAAAAGTCAAAATAGAGCTTATAAATCTTATTCACATTCAAATATAACCTGAGTACCTCTCAAACATGGGCCCCTAAAGGCTACACTCAGATTCAAGGTACATTTTGGGTCAGCATTTATTCAGACTTACAGCTTGTAAACCTCCATTCTACGCTGCTTTTTTACCAGACCAAAGGAGCAGAAGCACTGACTTAAAATCCAAGGCATTTAACAGAGTAGCAAGGTAAATAAAAAGGAATAACTTCCACAATCCACAATCCTATACACAAGGATTCGTTCTCCCACATGATCAGTAGGAGAGGGAACATCTGTACCTCTAGCAACTCATGGTCCTAGGTCTGCAGCCCAGTTACAGCACCTCTCGGTTTCCAAGGCCTCTAGTTGTTTCTCCATAGAAGGTTGCTCAATAAGTCTTCTACTGTGTGTATACTGCTATCTGCTGACAGTATACAGAATTACAGATGCCATGTAACCTCTTTCCTGCAAGATGAATGTTGATAGCTCTTTTTGGAAAACAGCCCATTGCCTCATGACAATTTCAACTCTTAGGTGAAGCAGACCCTCAGCTTGCCCAGTCAACCAGTGAAAAAGTCCCTTAGGTTAAACCGGTCTTTTAAAATCACTTTGCTTTCCTCACTTCACTCCTTCAAAATCTCTTCAGCCTCGAGTGATATTTAGGTTCGGGCAAGTAAATTCCTTTCAACTTCCATTTTACCCCTGACAGGCATTCTTGGTACATACAGATTACCCTGAAATTTCAATTAGCTTGGCTGGAGAAGGGCTGGAGCTGTGACTTTTGTCCCACATTCCTGCAGCTGTACCCAATTTGTTCTTCATACTATATAAACCAAATAGGCTTGCATTTTGAATACTTCAGAAATACAGAATCTTAGTATTAGAAGGGACTTTGGAACCTTTTCCTTTAGTCCAGGGGTTCTTAACCTGGGGTCCATGAACTCGATTTTAAAAATATCTTGATAACTGTATTTCAATATAATTACTTCCCTCATATGCACTTTATTTTATGCATTTAAAAATACTATTCAGAGGAGTCCATAGTCTTCACTAAACTGCCAAAGGGGTCCATGACAGGCTAAGAACCCTTGCTCTAATCTAATCTTCTAACCTAACAGACAAGAAAACTGAAGTCAAATTCAGCCCATATCAATAGTATGATAATTTGTTTTCTTTTTGCCCAAAAGTCTTTAAATGTGGTCTCTAGGGTTTTTTTTTTTAAATATTTTTAGAAGACAAAATATATCGGAAAGAGCATTATACTGGGAGTTAAGAATGTTGCTAGTCCTGGCTCTGTCATTTACCTATTATGTGACCTTAATGGTAAGTTACTTCGCTTTTCTACCTGTTTCCTTATCTGTAAAATAAGGGAAATGGACTGGATGATCTTTAAGATCTTTTCCAGTCCAAACATTATATGATTTCATGTAACCTATTAAGTTTTATCTTATACTTTCTCCATTGTTCTAGCCTACAAAGACATTTTTGAACACTGACTTTGTTGTATGTTAGCTATCCTGATTAGCTTTTCATTGTCTAAAAGTTGGATAAACAAAACATCTATGGTTTCATTTATAACTGATAAAAAAATGTTGAGGAAAAGCTGCCTGGACTACTCTCCATCCCTCTAAGATGACAAGAGATTCATTGACTATTCTTTAAGTAAAGACATCCAACCACTTCCAAATGAGCCCACATGTATAGTCATGTAGGCCATATTGTTCCATCTTGTCCAGAAGAGTAGCATGATATCCTTTTCCATTTTATCCACAAGGGAAAGCATTTTGCAAATCTTAAAGAGGTGTATAAATTTTAGCTATCATTATTATTTTACTAGATTTTTCCTAATTGCATGTAAAGACAATTTTTAACATTCATTTTAAAAATTTTTTGAGTTCCACATTTTCTCCTTCCCTCCCCATCTCCCTCCCTAAAAAGGTAAGAATTTTAAACAGGTTATATATGTGCAATTATATAATTACTATTGTTAAGTGCTTTGTTGAAATGTAAGTACCCTATATTCCAAAATGATGGTCATTTTCTGACCTATTGTCCTGAATGGATTCTAGAAAGTTCTGGTTTGATGTTATATCTGGCTTTTTTATTTGAGTTTTATGCTTTTTTAATGCCACATTATGAATTAAACAATCCTTTAGTTCACATAACTGAGTGATCAAACAGAAGTGAATTAACTAGTAATAGTTTAATATACACATGTAGTAAATAATGATTAATAACAGTTAAGTACTTCAATACTTAGATCTATGATACCATGGCTCTAAGTATTCTCTCTACTAATGTAGAACATATCCTCCCTCCCCTCACTTATACCTAAAGGTAAATTATGTTCACGAATTTCTGTGGCCAAAATATTCATCAACCTCCAATCAACTTGATGATGAATTTTTCTAGTCTTCTTTTGACTGGTCCTCAGGTAGTTAAGACCTGTCAAAACTTTCTTTCTTACTTACTGGCACGGTCTCAAAAAACTCAGTCACTTTAAAATCAAAATGAAGTACAAAATCAAATGAAGTATGTCTTTATTATGCTATAATTATAAAGATATTCTCCACTAAGGTCCTACATTGCCTCTTAATAAAATAGAGGTGACCCTAGGTTTTTATGCCGTCAGTGCACAAACTATGATAGGCCCCACCGAGCTGGAAAAGCTTTGAGTGCGGGTCCAGCACCAGACTTTCATGTCTGTGACTCAAGTACTAATCTAGCTAAGTGTAGAGAGGCTTAGTGCCAGAGCTGCCAAGGGTCTGTGGCCTTTAGTTGGTCATGAGGTAATGACTTTTTTTGTCCATAGCATCTCATGAAAGCTACATTTTAGAAAGAACAATATTAAACTGAAGGAGAGAAAGCAGGTTGATAAAGGCCTTAAGTTCATGATCTGTGAAGATGAGTTACAGGACCTGTGGATATTTAACCTGTAGAAGAGAAAACTGGGATCAGGCCCCAGTATGATGACCTTCTTCAGGTGAGAAAGGCTGTCAAGTGTAAAAGGAATCTGCCTGGTTCCATAGAGGCAGAAATAGGAACGATGGATAGATGTTGCAAAAAAAAGCAAATTAAGCCTTAGGTTAAAGAATGCTTAGGGCAGCTGGGTGTTACAGTGGATACAGCACTGGGCCTGGAATCAGAAAGACTTTTTCCTGAGTTCATTTTTTTTTTTGGTGAGGCAATTAGGGTTAAGTGACTTGCCCAGGGTCACACAGCTAATAAGTGTTATGTGTCTGAGGCTGGATTTGAATTCAGGTCCTCCTGATTTCAGGGCCAGTGCACTATCCACTGCACCACCTAGCTGCCCCTTTTTCTCCTGAGTTCAAATCCAGCCTCAGACACTTACTAGCTATGTGACCCTGGGCAAGTCACTTAACCCCGTTTGCCTCAGTTTCCTCACCTATAAAATGAGCTGGAGAAGAAAATGGCAAACCTTTTGAGTGTCTCTGCCAAGAAAACCTCAAATAAGGTCACAGAGAGTCACACAACTGAAACAGTTGAATAACAACATAAAGAATTCTTAACAAAAATGGGAAATATCCAAAATTGAAATGTAGTACCTTGAGAGGCTCACTTAAAGTGATAGGAATGTTATAAAAAGTATCCTCATTCAGGTATAGGTTGGTCTCTTCCAACACTGAAATTCTGTGATTCTATGAAAATATCTGCTAAGATATGAAGGGGTTATAATCTATTTTGGTGGGGAGTTGGGTAATATTCACACAGACAAAAGCATAGATCTTTTTAGGTAATAAGAGTGTGTAACAAAGAATGTTAGAGTTAGAAAAGACTTTACAGATAATCTAATCCAATCTCATCATTTGACAGATGCCTGAGGACCATAATGGTATATATGACATATCCATGGTCATAGGGCTAATTAGTGGTAGGGCCAGGACCAAGACCTAGGTTTCAGGATTCCTAGTTCAGTGATTTTTCTGCTATACAATATTACAAATTCTTCAGCTTGATTGTAAATTTCTTGAGAACAGGAACTATTTTTCATTTAATTTTCTTTCCCTACAATGTCTTGCACATAACAGGTGCTCAATAGGTTAGATTATTAATGAGATTATGTCATTCTCATCAGTTCCAAATATCTTTTTTCCTTCCTCCTCTGTAATGTGATTATTGTCTCTACATCTAGAGATGTACCCTATATATACTTCTTCACCCCATTACCTTTAAATTCCTTCTATCAAAGTGGTACTTAACCTGTAGACTCTTTATCCATTATGAACCTAGATTTTCCCTTGATGAACAAAAGTGACTTCTATTCTGTATCATCACATTACTACTCTCCCCTTCTAATTTAATGCATCCAACCTTCTGGGAGCTGAGAAACCAGGTAACCAGAACTGTATGCAAAATCAGTAAGTACAGTTGAATGAAGACTTAAGAATCTCTCTTTACGAGTAAAAGGCATACGGTTTGTGTCAACTGGCTGCTAAGGTGCCTTTTTTGCTGACTTGCTGGCTCTTAGCTATGTTCAG